GTTTGCTTGCTTGCTTGTTTGTTTGTTTGCTTGAGTGCTTGCTTGCTTGCTTGCTTGCTTGCTTGATTGATTGATTGATTGATTGATTGTTTGTCTGTTTGTTTGTTTGTTTGGTTGGTTGTTTGTTTGTTTGTTTGTTTGCTTGCTTGTGTCTGTTTTGTTGTTTGCTTGTTTGTTTGATTGTTTGTTTGTTTGTTTGTTTGTTTGTGTGTGTTTGTTAGTTTTGTGTTGTTTGTTTGCTTGTTTGGTTGGTTGTTTGTTTGCGTGTTTGTTTGTTTGTTTGCTTGCTTGCTTGCTTGTTTGCTGCTTAGTTGCTGATTTGTTTTTGTTTGTTTGCTCGCTTGATTGTTTGTGTTTGTGCTTGCTGGCTACCTGGCTGGCTACCTGGCTGGCTTGCTGGCTGGCTGCCGGGTTTGCTTGCTCGATTGCTCGCTCGCTTGCGTGCTTGCTTGCTTGTGTGTTTGTGTGTAAGTTTATTTGCTTCCTTGCTTGTTTGACGGTTGGTTGATTGGTTTGCTGGGTCTGTTTGGTCGGTTTGTTGGCTGGTTCCTTTGGTGGGTCGGTGGGTTGGCTTGGTGGGTTGGTTTGGTTGATTTGGTTGGTTGGTTGGTTGGGTGGGTTGGGTTGGGTTGGGTTGGGTTGGGTTGGGTTGGGTTGGGTTGGGTTGGGTTGGGTTGGGTTGGGTTGGGTTGGGTTGTTGGGTTGGGTTGGGTTGGGTTGGGTTGGGTTGGGTTGGGTTGGGTTGGGTTGGGTTGGGTTGGGTTGGGTTGGGTTGGGTTGGGTTGGGTTGGGTTGGGTTGTTGGTTGGTTGGTAGGTAGGAAGGTATTTGTTGCTTGGTTGGTTGTTTGGCTGGTTGTTTCAATGTATGTGCTGATTATTTGCTTGCTCTTGCTTGCTGGCCTTGCCTTGCTTTGCCTTGGCTTGCTTTCTTGCGTGCTTGTTTCTGTGCAATCATTGTTTGTGTCTGCATGACTCGCAGTTTATCCTGCCATAAAGGTCTTTGCCTGGAAGAGGTTGCCAGGTGCCTAGCAATTGTTCAGTTCAATGCCCAGCCTTCCGCGCAAAAGTCGCTTTCACCTTGTGATCACTCCCCATGTCGAGTTCTTGAAGTTGCATACCCAAGAATTACTGAATTTCAAGCATGCGCAGCAGCTCTCTGAGATTGCTCCGTCAGCCCAAGTTCTTCTAGAGACATGAGCCAGGTTAGGGGCCGCATCCCATTCCAATGCGCCCTGGCCTCACATCTCTGCGTCCCTGAATTAGCAAATGATCAATATTCACTTCGGCCCCCAAAGAACCATGGGTCACGTTTCCCATTGAGTGGTTGACATATCGTCTTTTAATCGGTTGTCCCCAATGGCCATCCCATGTAAAGGACATGTTGAGCAACCCCCAGCTCAAAGTCGATCGCACATGTTCAATGACCAGGATCGCGCATGTCACAACCAATCTAGTGGCTGAATTAGGGGATTGGCTGGCCACTGTCCGGCATCAATCGGGGATGAGTTGTTTCATGACAGGCCTGAGTAATGATGGGCAACACAGCAATGTAACCAATTCATCACCTCGCAAAGCAACTGCAATACCTCGTGCCTCCCTTGCATAAAGCATGCATGTGCATCCTCCCATAGTTGGTGCTTGCGAGCTTGCTTGGGCTCAGTGAGAACTATTCGCATGTCCCCCAAGCTACCAGATCTTTTGAATATGTGGCACGCATTTTAAGGGCAAAACGAGCCAACCGGCCCCCTCAAAGTGGAACCACGCAAAGCGAAGCACCAACGGTCATGGCTGAGCGCTGAAACTGCGCTTCCGGCCGCAAATCACGTATCAAACTAGGGATTCGGACCCCCAACATGGAGGTTCTTCTTTGGTTCCGTTGGAAGTAAAACCCGGAAAGAGTGCCAAAAAAAGAAAAAAACACAACCCCAAGTTTGCAGCAGTTTTGCCTAGGGAGCCCAGCCTCAACCCGCACCAAGTAGCTGGTGGTGGTCTGCGTCGTCAGGGAGGTGGTAGTCGAGGTGATGGTAATTGTGCTGGTAATTGTCACGGTGGTGCTGGTCAACGACGTGCTGGTGACGGATGTAGTGGTACCTGAACGGATTGCCAGGAGCAATCGGACAATGGAAGTGAATAGGGTCGAGAAGCCGCCCGAAGTTCCGAAGAACTGGCAGAAACCCCCTTGCCCTCAATGAGGCCATATCACGAGGTCTTTGAATAATTGTAACCCCGGATTAATACACCCCTGGTTGATTAATAAGGGGGGTGGATGGTGCCACCTTTTTGTGGGGATTCAGACCACTTTTGGAGGGAACACTCCCCTACTGGTACGGGTTTTAAAAATTCCTGGGTCAACAGTAACACAAAGGGGTCACACCTTTGAGGTGGGGAAGGTTGGGCCTTTGGCCGAGTCATGTTCCTTCGAGCCAATTCATTTCAAGGCCTTTGGCGCCACGGCTGAGGGCCATTTTCATCACGAAGCATGCATGTAAAATACACGGCCGGACAAGCAGCTGCTGCAGTAAAAGGTAAAGGAAATCACACACACAAACAAAAGTGCAGCTGAAGTCAAGAAACATTGGCCACCATATTAAAAAAACAAAAACAAAAACAGGCCATCAAACACCGCACCGCTAATAGCTGCATCCATCAAATTACGGCGAAATCTCGTGGCCGGCAAGTCTGACGCCAATCTTCTCGGTTCTCACAACGTCTCGCGCGAATTCCGTCCCACTCTGTCTGATGGTCTCTGGATGAATTTATGACAACTCACCAACAAGAAAGGGGCTAAGAAAAACAAAAGAGGGGCTGCGAGTCTCCTTCGCAAGGCCACTGTCATGTGCCCAGTTTGTACATGACGCGTTTTTGCTCTGGTCTTATGGCTTTGTTTGTTTCAACCCCTTCCGCTGTTCGGGAAAAAGGTGGCCGGTACCGAGCTAGGAAAATCAAAGGCCCCCCCTTGGAATCTGGAAGAGGTAAAGAGAGTGTCACGACAGGGGGTCCAGACTCAAGTGGTGGACAGTTCGAATCCAACCTGCATAAGCCGGGGGATGTGGGGGATGGAAAACAAATGGATATGTGTCAAAATGGGGTCACCCCCCCAAAAAAATCCAACATGGCGGTTTTCTTTTGATTTCCGTCTGCATCAACCTAGACCAGGGTTCCATGCCGCTGGGATTCAAACATCATTGAAAGCAATGGGGGTGAATGTATAACAACGCTTTCCTAAGGAGTTTCATCATCTAGATTACCATTCCTTTAATGTGGGTTGGACCCTAGGGGAGCTTCCCTCGGGGAACCTCAAAAGCATTACACCTCAAAAAACATCACCCTCTACAAGGGAACCTCACCTTTAATGGGCCAAAATGTCGATTGAAACCACCCAGAAGTGGGCTTCGAGCTGGCCCCCTGAAAAGTGACACCCCCAAATCGGTCCGCCCGAGTTCCGAGTGGCGGCTGGTGGTGGTGGTAGTGCTCAGCGTGGAAGTGGGTCCCAGGCAGAAGACGTCCGCGCTGCCGTCACAGACCGGCTGCTCCAGGATACCGCAGCCTTGGTATTCTTTTTCTTGGGTGAGACGACTTGGGCATTTTTGTGTTTAAGTGGCCATGGGTCAAAATCAAAATCGTACCCCCAGTGAACATCAACCAATCCCATTAAAATGGGTGGTGCACCTATCCCAATATGGTACCATTGGTTTTGACCCACAGCGAAATGTGTTTAAGTCACCACCTGGAGTCTCGTTGACCCTTCAAACATGGGGCCATGACCCCTTTCTTTTCGGTGACCCCATTGGAGAACACCCTTCCTCCCACCAACACGGCACCGCTGGGTGGGTCAAAAATAGGGATCGGACGCCCTGAAATGGTTTCGGCTTTCCTTTTGGCGTCCCTTGAACCCCGATTCAAAACACCGACCCCCAAAAACAAAGCGAGGTTCAAACTTAATGTGAGTACCCAGTTGTTTCAGTCTGGAATCTTGTGCAATTCAAAGCCTTTGACTCCGAAAAGTTCATTTCAGTATGACTCTGGTAGACAATGGGAACCCTGGGGATGACCATTGGTCATGGGGAGCACAAAGGGGCCTGGCGAAAACTGTTTCGAGCACTAGACCCGATTCGGCTCTAAAAAGCCTAAGGAGATTTCAACAACAGGTGCTACACGTTCCAAGAATTCTGCCCAATCCTTTCTGGACAACAAGCACGGTGATTCTTGGGGGGCAACTTGGGACCAAAGCATCGGACCTCAGCAACTTCCCTCCAGGGAAATATTGCCTTCTAATTCGTCCTTTTCTACAGCAGACTTTTGTTGAACGGATAAAGCCCACAAATCGAGGCCCCGAAAGAACTGCACAAAGCTCCATTGGACGACCCTGCTCGGGTTCCGCGAAACGGCTTTCTGCTACATGATCATGCTTTGGAGCAACCTAGAACCTCAGACCCCATACGGTGGACCCGAAAGAACACCCATAAATCTTTGCCCCAAACATCGGCAATCCCGCGGTCGAGGCGCCAGTGTACTCGCTGCAGTTCAAGCATCCCGGGAGCTGCTCGGGGCAAGCGTCGAAGGCGCCGTTGGTGGCAGAGACCTCTCGCCGGACACAACTATTTCAGAAGGTAACCAAGGGAACCTTCAGACAACTGAAATACACAAAACATATTTGATAGGTTTTGAAGGTGGTTCCCTTGGCCTTGGCGACCTGGATAGTAGGTATCCAGGTAAATGGATCTGGGATTCTGTTTCGAGAGGAAGCGTTAAAGTAAACTAATCGCTCAGGATGTCTCTGAGTTGCCGAGTTGGACACTGCCAAACAAAAGTTATGACGTTCTTATTTGAAGAATAACTCAAACCTGGTATGAATCATCCAGGGAATCTGACCATATGAGGAATCGAAGGGCGACAAGAAAATAATTGCCTGCAATACTCGTGGAAGGGTCTCGCCTGGCTGCTTTGCAGTTTCCCCTTTTAGATTGGTCAAAGGAGTTTCCCTAGAGGGTTTAAACAGAATTCTCGGGTACAGTCGGCTCCGACATCAGATGAAAGAAAGAAAGGACACCTAGAACCCAACCCTTGCACTTGAGTGCCCCCAAAACTCTTTGGTCATCGTAGGTGGTTGAACTACATGGCTTCATGGGACACACCTTAGAACCAGAAGTCAATTGGTTGTTTGGGCGGTTGTTCACGAGGTGCCTGAACCGCACAACTTGCCTGTGGCCTGAACATTTCTTTGATGCTGAATCCCCCATGTTTGATTGTTTGTGTGTGTGTGTGTTTGTGTGTTTCCTTTAAGAAAGCCACCCAGGAAATTGAGGTTTTAAGTCAGACTTCCTGTATAACGTGCAGGGCAAACTGATTGAAACACACGCAACCTGCCTGATGATTCAGTGACACTCAGGAAAATGATAATTAGCAGGACACCCCCAACCACGCTGCCATGCGCAGTATTCCTAAGAAAGCCCTGGCCAGCTTTCCTGATCAACAGTAGTTTGATTCAGCACTGACAAGGACATGCTTGGCCCTTTGGTGGACCATCGGTGTTGGAAACCACGATGTTACTGAGAAAATACATGTCCGGTATCTGCAAGGTTGATGGAAATAAATCGCAGGGATCAGAGCAGATCGCCAGCAATTTGGAAGGACCTGCATTTAGATGTTCAATACAGTGGGCAAGAACTGCAGTTTGTCCCATTTGCCATGGCTATAGCCTAGACATGTCAACATCCAAGTAATCACTTGGCTTGTGGCCAAAATGTTTTTTTTCTTGCCTTGGCTTTAAGCAAGGGGGCCCTTTTGACATACAATTTGAGCCACCAAAGCCCAAATCGGCTTTTGCAGTTCTACCACTGTATTGTGTTATGCCTCGAATCGCCAGAAGGAGTAGAACGCCTTGTGCACCGAGCTTGATACGATGCGCACGTCCCTTGACCCGCCTGAGCCTTTGAGGCGCTTGAGGCCTGCGCGCAACGAACTCCCGCACAGAATGCAAGTTTATGACCTGCTGGAAATCTGCAAACGCTGTTTCTTTATCATTTCCTGTTCAAGTCCGGAAGCCAGTTTCTGAGATCCGCTATTTTCGTATTTTCGTGGAACTAAGTGGTTTGTGGATGAGCAGCAGGACAAAATCATAAAGATCACCGAGCGAGCAGCCTCAGCTCACCATGGCAGCTTCAGGCAAGTGCACTTCCTCCCAGAACGCAGGGGTTATGGTGCTCCATGCCATTTGGCTAAGAATGAATTCGCAAGTATCCGCATGTGGTCCCCATGCGACCAGAAGATTTCCGGTAATGCATAGGCGTTGTCTGGGACTTAGAAACGTCTGGTTGTGTCCTGAGGGAGTCGAGAAGAACACGCCACGTGAATAAGGAAGCTGAGCGGTTCAGCAAAAGAAGGTTCAGTAGGCTTGAGAGATCGGTGCGATGCTGCCAAGGGGAAGCAACTCGCAGTTCCATGATTGCATAGGGTTCACCATATGCTCCCTCCAAACATCAGCCCGCCAGGATTGGTGAGCCATGCCTTTCTAAACAAGCACATGAGTGATCTGGTATGAAGCATGTGTTTAGATGGGCGAGTCCCGAGAGCCATCCACTGGTCAATGATGACGAGTTGCGAGTAGTCCTAGTTGCATCGGGCTGCGGCAGCTATGCCTTTGTACAACATACATCCGCCTGTTGAGTAGTATCTTTGACTCGGGAGGTTGCTCCCAGATTCCGATGTTTAAGGCAATTTTCCCAGGAGGCACATTGCATGTGCGGGGATGATTTCACTTGGCAACTGGCTCTGTGGAGATAGATTTCTCCTTGTCGAGCTGTGGAATGCCATGCTCTTAAACCTCAAACTCGTGTAACAGGTTTCCCCGAGGGGGCTGATAATTACCCCCCAAAACAGGCCTCAGTTTTGACACGCCTGGCCGCCCGGTGAGAGAGAACCCATGACCCATCCGTGCCCAGCCATGTTCGGAACCCAGGGGAGCGGGAAGTCCAACAGCCTAAGCATTTCGACGCCCGCAAAAACAACAACTGACACACTAAATCACCGCATGTTCTGTAGTGTTTTTTTTTTTTTTTTTTTTTTTTTTTTCCGGTTTGGTCAAAGTTCAGCTCAGTGGGTTCTGTATGTCGCGTTTCTGTTTTGGCCGTTGAGAAGGTTCAGCTCATACAAGCAGCGCAGACTACGGCAAAGGATTGGCGCCGGTCGGGCGCTTCGCGGGGAAGGCCGAGGCGCCTTCACCAGCACATTCAGCTGCCGTGTCACGTTGCCTGGGCAATACCCTCGTAACAGGGACATGCAGAAATTTGCCCAAGGGAAACCATAAAGAAACCATGGAGAAACCATGGGGAAACCATGGGGAACCGTAGGGAAACCATAGGGAAACCATAAAGAAACCATAGGGGAACCAACTGGGCGGATTTCAAGTTTCAGCTTAGCTTTCATGGCTGTATTGTTCAGACTGATGGGACCCGCAGCGCTCAACTCATCGCTCAAAGGCCAGTTTCGGAAGGTGTCTGAAGAGAGGAACTAGAAAAACGCACCGAGCTGTTTTGGGTCAACTTTCCAATCCTAGCTTAGCATGTGATCAGGAGAAGATGTTTTCTTGCAGGCACCCAGTCAACATGATATACACAAGCAAAACTAAACAACTCAGCAAATCAACAAATATCAGGACAAATCAAAATAACAAAAACATGCCAACAACGGTGAACAAAACTCATACTCGGTCAGTCTTGAGCGATGTTACGCACAATGTTGTCTTGCCCCGAATCACGCAAGTAAACAAATGCCCCTGGACTCACCCCACAGCATCCGTCTCACACACCATTTACCATGGCAGGTGTCAAGAGCGAACTTGCGCAAGCTTCCCCAACAGGATATGGACAATTGGGGTTCGTCCGCGGGTTTTGTGTGCGGATTATTCAGCAAGTTGCCCTATGTCCCTCCCAAAGGAAGCATGGGCTACTCAACATGTTTGAGCAACTGACTAATTAGCTTGTCTTCCGCAATGGCTTTGAAGTTATTTAGGCTCGTTTTACAACAACATGGAAGAACATCAAGGCGGACTCCTCTTGCAGCTCTTTAGCGAAGTCGAAGGCGGCTTGCCCGCGCGAGTATCAATACACATCCAACTGTCACATAACCGGTCGGTGGCTGAGTAATCAATAAGGAGCTAGCTGCTACAGTGTCACCCCAACCGCGGACGCAGTTTATCAGCTTTCAGCACACCCGTACGTCAAGTGATAAGCGCACCCCCCTATCGCTTAAGCGCACTTGTGCCCGTAAGAAAGCTCTCGGGCCTCAGTCTCAGGACGTGGTACAAAAAATCAAATTTGATTTGTTGTGAGCACGAACACTATCTCTGTCAGCTGGCAGTGACTTTGCACGGGTTCTCGGAACTGCCCATAGAAACCGCATGTGTCGCTCAGGTTGTTTGTATGCATTTACGGGTCAATGCCCGCAATCATTCCGTCATTGGAGCCTACAGCATACAGCTCAAACTCACATGACATGACTGCAGTGAGACCCTGGTGTAACATATTGGCCATGTAATTGAATAGCTAACCCCCTCGAAAGTGGTTGGTGGACATGAATTGAACTGAAATGATGTACACCAATGGGTTCCTAATTTATTCGTTGGTGAAACATCAACTGGATGCCTCGCCTGGAAATTATTGAAAATTCGGATCAAGAGTGAGAGTCCATCTGGGTGTGAAAGGGCCGGTCTTTGGCTCCAGAGTCTCTGGAGCCAAATGTGTAGTGAGAACTATATATCCTAAGCCTACCTGTGTACCTGGTTGGCTCACTATCTCACTTGACTGGCCACCAAATGTCGGGGTCTTCCAAACAGTTCAAAGTTCAACGCAAGAAGTGAGCTATGTTTGCTTCTGTTTCCCGAATTCCCCAGTTTCAGGAAATGGACATGAGCGTTGGTTTTTATTCCCTACAAACTTGCTTGGACATTATTCAAGCTTCCGCGGACCCTTCCGCGTCCTTCCCGCGGGCCAAGAGGTCCCTTCCGCGAACTTCCGCGGCACATGTTTTTCATTGTTTGCTTCCGCAAACCTTCCGCGGGGCATGGTTTACAAGTTTTGCTTCCGCGAGCATTGGCGCAGAAACAAATGTCATTTTAAGTGAGGTAGTGTTCCGCAGCTTGTGTAGGCTTGGGCTCCATTGGGCTACCCATGCTACGTGGCCGCTTGCCTGCAAACACGGGGCCACCCTTCCCCGGAGCTTCCGCGAAGCTTCCGCAAACCTTCCGCGAAGTACGCCGGCTGTTTTGGCCTTCTTGGCTTGCTGTTGGCATCTGCTCTTTGAGTAAGCGTTACGTTTCTTGTACGCAGCAACACCTTTTCTTCTACTGGAATTGTTTCTCCGAGCTTTTCCACGCACGCACTGAAACATTTAGTTGTATATCAGCCACCAAGCTTCCGCAAACCTTCCGCGAACAAATCCCTTCCGCGAGCCTTCCGCATGCTTCCGCGCGTGTGGCGCGGCGCACATTTTCAATAATAATGTCCCTCTCCCCACTAAATTAGCTTGCGGGCAAAAAAACCGCCGCTCACATGACTTCGGAAGTTCATATGCACGCATGCCAGCTTGCATCGCGTTACTAAAACCCATTGAGCAACAGTTTAGACTTTTGGGGATCCCTGCTTGTCATCTTCTCGGTGCCCGAAGTTTAAACGTTTGGATTTGGACGCCAACCCCCGCTCGAGAATTCGAACTCTGCCTTGGGTCTTGAGCTCCTCCACCACAGGGGCCTCCTGCCGGTCCCCGGTGAAGTACCAGCTCATGCCCTCGTACCTGGGGGTTCACATGTGAACCAAATGCTTCGGATTTTTCTCTGGTTTTTCTGGGTTGAATTGCGAGCATTGGACAAACCCTTGGGTCCACTTGAGTACCAGCACACCAACTCGGTTGCTTTCTGCTCCCCTGCTAAAAGTTTACTTTTAGCGGGTTAATGGAAAACCCATTTGTTGGCAAAAAGTTAAAGTCCTAACATCCAAGCAAAAT